CCCCCAGATGGGTGCCCCTGAATCTACAGAGATGATCCTGGGCCATACTGACACAATTCCACCATTTCTTGGCCCAAGCAGACCCCTCTTTTCGAAACAATCTCTGAGGGGGTACTTTTTGTGCGCCTCTGCCTGGCGGAGAATTTTCCTTGAATTGGGACACTGCACCCATAGGTGGTCTCTGCTTCGGTTTGGGTGAGCATTTCTCAAAAATTCATTGGTCAACCCACTACAAAATGAAAGAGGACATGTCGAACATCATTTTGCTGTCTAGCTTGGACACCTGTGAGAGTTGTAAGTATTTTGAAAATAATTTTCAAATGAAAGGATTGATCACTGGTGTCTATGGGAATTCAGTTAAATGGGTGCACTCATCCACCCTGCCATGGAGTTCGTCACGGTCATGTGATCCGCACTGAGCATGTGACACACAAAGAACGCATCGAATCCGTCACGTGTACGGCCAAAGGAGGAAGAAATAGCTGGTCCCTGCCTATATCTTGCTGGGTTCACGCGCGCTGGTACTCGGTAATCTGGCCGTGAACACTTGAATAAATACTGTGCCCATGCATGCCGAGCCAGGTGTAGTCTGTCTAGGTCAGCTACATCGGGGAAGAGCTCTGCTGAAATTGCCATCAAAACTTGAATTGTTTCAATCACTGACAGACGATCGAGCCTGTTTTATCTTTTGCAGAGACTCGACAGAGAGGTGAGTACTCCAATTCCTAAATCGTTATTGATCGTCATTGTTAGCATAATTATTAGTATTAATTAAATGTTGAAAAAAAATGGCCCGAAATTTATTATCGATATACATATTTTTCCAAATATCTCAAGTTATCGCATGCATACGAAACAAAGTGTTGATTGTAGATTTGTGAAAAAAAACCGGTCATTTCCGAGGGTCGGAGTGCATGCATGTCTAGCACTTGGGTTTCTCCAGGTCGACGAAATTCTCTGACTTGCTGTGCGCTTGGTTCTGTGGACGGGCAAAATGGAAGCCCTCGCTCGGTGGTTGAGGTCTGTATTCAGTCCAGAACTGTATAATTAAAGTTTAGTGTGTTAAAGTTTATAACCTAGGAGATAGCCATGTATAAACTCCCATAAACACATTTTTGCTGTTCTGATCGTGTCAACTTGCTCTTCCATCACAGATACATGTATTTATGTATTTGTGCAACCAAATTTCATACAACATGCCTTCTTGGTGAAGTTACATGTCACATCATGTCAGACAGGGAGGTTTATTCACCTTATATCCTTGGTACGCCCCAACTATAGCATCATTCTCAACTATAGTTGGGCCCGTCCCAACTAGAGTGCTACAGTTGGGCCGGCCCAACTACAGCAGAGAGGTCCTGTGTGCATGATGTGCCCAGCATGTGCCAAAGTCATATTGTTTGCAAATGTCATGTCATTTGTCATAGGGCTAGATGAAGAGATGAAGTGCCACATTTTAGATGAATTGTGTCAAGTGTGAAACACATTGACTTGGATAATGTTGAGACATTTCCCACAGGCATTGGTCAACAACAGTTGGGCCTGCCCAACTGTAGTACTACAGTTGGGACTGTCCCAGCTATAGTTGGGACTTATGCTATAGTTGGGGCGTAACATCCTCATTAAAATGGTGAAAATTAAGATTCTTGAGCATTTTGCCTATCTACACTGACAGAAAATCGGCAGCATGCACATGTACTCTCAACAACTGTCAGCTGTGTGATAGCATAGCTTGACCAATCGCAACACGGCTCCTATCTTTTCCTTTTGTTTTTGAATAAACCCCCCCATCTGACATCTAGCTTCACCAAGAAGGCAGGTATGAAATTTGATTGCACAAACAGCCGTGATGGAAAGAGTAAGTTGGCACAATCAGAACAGTCAAAATGTGTTCATGGGAGTTTGTACTTGGCTATCTATGAGGTTTGTGTAAACCTTACAGTTCTGGAAGTAGTCAGTCTGATGAGCGAGACCTGTATTCCACATTTTCATCCAAAGAGTGGAGCTTGCCAGTGTTAAACGCAAGCTTGAACCAGCCCCGTAAACAGGGCCCTACGGAGTACTCCTCCGTTGTATACTGGGCCCTGTCCCGATTCGTAGGGAATTCTTTCAAACATTTTTCTCCGGGATATCTAGGGCATCCGCTGGATTTTGTGAGCTGAAATTGCACCGGTATGTTCACTACTTATGGGATGAACTATCCGCTAGGCTGCTAATAGTAGGAAACTCCGTAGTTGATTTGCCTTTGAATGAAATCCGTTGATAGGATAATCAACTTATATGAAGGAGGGGGATACAAAAAATTTGTACAGGAGTCAAGATGGTGCTGAACGGAGCCAAATTAAAGTATTACGATTATTAAGCTTACATGTACTGTAACATTTGTAGATGGGAACGTGTTTGGCCTTTCATTAGGCAACAGGGTAGTCTGGTTGGACTTTTTTGGCCCCAGCAGGCTTGCATTGCTTCAGTTTCCATGCACCGGGACTCTGCCGGCGTCCCTGGCGACGAGGCTAATCTGCTTGGAGTCCTGCGTTCCTTTGGAATTGCTTGGCTTTCTTAGACTTTGTATTTTTTCTTTTCGACTCATGTTCCCTCTTTGCATGAATTTGTTCTCAACAGACTTCCACAAAGTCCATAGCCACACGGCTGCCAACGTGGTGCCCAGATAGGGCTTAGAATCTTTTGTCTTTGTCCCAGTAGATCACATACTGTAGGCAGCTCCTTTACTGGACCGGAAATATTACCAGAAATTTTTATTCTTTGTTTTGGTTTTTGTATTGTAAACTTTATTCTTGTAGTAATGCTAAATAACTAGTCAATCATTGTACCGTTTTTTTCTTGAAATGCAGGTTTTAGTAAATACGTGTATGTGCACAGTTTTTGCCCCCCCCCCACAGGCAGGTCATATTGAGTGCCAACTCGTGTCCTCGTACATGTACGTGTGTGCATGTCTACCCTGAAAACATATACAGTTGTATACTAATCTTCAGACTTGGGCGTTCTTTGAGTACTCAGTCAGATGGCTTTTGTGATTAGCGAGACTAAGATCTATTTATTGAGCCCTGCTGAGGGGCACCGCCTCCCCTCCGCCCCCCCCCTCGTTAACCACACACTTGACCTGTAGACTCCCAGTCATGTGCGTTACCACAGGCCTGGGAAAATTGGTCACGTGTGCAGGCAGTTTGACGCAGGGTCACCTCAAGCAGCCCAAAGTTCTGTTGACTCACTTATTTTCACAGTCTTCCAATCATACACAGTATTTTTAGATTATTGCATCCTTTTTCATGCCTTTTGACCTTGTCCTGCCCACTGAACACATACACGTACCGGGTACCAAAGGCGTGGGGGGCGTGCACCCCCTTTTTTCACCAAAAAAATAGATAAAAAAAAGAAGAAAGTGCACCACAGACTGCCTAGAATCCAAACATGCCCTACACCATGATAAGGGCTTGGCGCTTTTTTGGTAAATCCGGGATCACTCCCCCTCCTCTGTGAAAATCCTTTATCTGCCCCTTCGTACATGCACGTACATGTAGCATGTACATGTATGTGCCCTTTCTGTGACCTGACTGCATGCATTGTGTTACCTGGTGTCTCTCCCATGGTGGATTCAGAATCACAGCGTTTTGTTCACTTAGGTTGGCACGTAGGTAGCCCGGGGACTTTAACAGTTTTCGGTTGGTCAGAAGTAGTGGCCACGGGGGTAGATACAGTACATGTACACTGTAGATACAATAATAACATTTCATTGGACATACAGGTGCATACCTGATGGCCCCGTTAAATGGCAACAAGTATTGTATTGGGTTTTCTGCAGAATGGTTGCCATGGAACGTACATGTATGGGCATCAGTCGTCAGTTATCTGTTTTGTGGACCCTTAAGTAAAAATGTAGTGGGAGTAGGCCTACATGCTTCATTTGATCAATGTTTCTCAAACCAGGAATTATTTGGAAAATGAAATCAATTTGGCAAAAGTACACGTACAGTACATGCACAGTGTACATGTATGTGCCAAGAAATTACATAATTGAAGTGGTCAGTTCTAAACTGCTGCGGATTGCAACATATTCGTCTGCCAATATTTTCCGGAGGCCTGAAACAGGGCCCTGGACCCCATGCTGTTGGGGCTTTGTGCTTCGCATTTGCATTAGTTCTGACTGAAGTTATGTTCCCCCAGTTTTGAAAAGCAATTGATGCCCATAATAAAAAGATGGTTCTGTACAAAAGTACCAAAATGACAGTACCATCGTCACCAGATTCGTCCATAAAAGTTTCACCTCAAATCTCCGAGGCTTTAATCTGTACAGTCGTCGAAAGGTTTTGCATAAAATTCTTGAAAGTCCAGGCGATTGAGTCAAACCTCACTAATTACAGGTTCCTTGGACTTTGCAGATTACCGGTACCCTATTAGGAACCTTGTGTTATCAGGAGAGAAAACGATAAAGTACAAAGGATCAGGACCTATAAATGCCCTTGCTGTATAAAAAAAGCAGAATGTTCTATCCACAATGCTCAATATCAGGTTCAACTGTAGATGAAATGAGAGACCAATTTTACAACTTCTGATGCAGATGTAATGCATACTGAATGTACATGTATGATGTACTAGTGCACTGAAAGTCCTCTTGCAGGAAAGAACCCATGATGTTATAACAAGGAAATACATGTAGGTCGACATGTACATGTAGGTATGTACCTCCATTGAAACTAAGTCGAACATGACAAAATATTTTGGGAAAATTTCAACGCGGGTTTTTTGCCACGCTATACCGTATGCACTGACATGATTCCACTTCAGTTCACAGTTCCCATTGTTGCCAAATTGGGAATGCGTGTACATTAAGGCGCAATAAAGGGTAGTGGTTCCTGTTTCTTTATTTACCGGTATCCCACTTTGGTGGTGTGACTTATAACTGCTTTGGGATGGGGGGGGAGAATTTGGGGAATATGTGATACTGGAAACGAAAAAAACTGTTGCCATTGTTCAAATGCGGTGCCAAAATGTTCAGTGGAGTTTACTTATTATAGAGTACTGAAATGAAAACGTTATGTACACAATTATGTACATTTATGTTAAAGGCATTAGTGCGAGAACTGGCACGTGGACCAAGGCACGCACCCGTACTCCGTTCCTTTGCACTAGGCCTACACTTCCTGGTTCTAAATGAAGTCACACATTTAAATGAATTGAAGGTTGAATATTCAAAAAGTGAATTTTTCGAATTGACTCAGCCCTATTGTCACATGATTTCTGGTAAATTTCAAGAGATACATGTACTTTAGTTTTGGGTAAGATCAAAAGGATTTGGTGGCATAGTGAGTTGGATTGGAGCCTGTATGCAACGCTTGGGGTTTGATTGCGAGTCAGTCAACTTTTTTTTTCTTATCTCCAGAATTTTACTTTTTTTATTGATGAAAACTATTTTTTGTGATGCCAGACTCTGCAAAAGTTGTTTTGCCATTGCTGGCAAGCACCACATGCGCTGTTAGCATGTGAGACTTCGCGTGGCCACACTATTAACTTGCATGCTCGGAAACACTGGTGTTCAACCTGGCGTGGCATCACGTTCGTAAAGTCTGAAAGACTTTGCTGTTCTGACATAGTGACTCTCTCAGTCATGGAATTTGTCTGGTTCTTCGTTGTCCTTCTTTTGTCGTCACTTTTAAGAAATTGGTCAGTGGGTGCCCAGAAACCCTCCTCCGG